CTCTTCAGTTCCGAAACGTAAGTGTTGCATTTTCCAAATATGGTATGTCTGACAACCGGCCCGACTCCGCCCCTTTCTGCATGCTGCAGCCAGGTGTACTTGTGAGAGTTGGCAGCCCTGTAAACAGGAAGTTAATGGGATCTAAACAGGAAGTAAACAGGATAGAAACAGGAAGTGAGTGGGATGCAGACAGCATAAAAACAGGAAGCCAATAGGATATAAACACAGTGCTGCCAACTTTTGAGCATTTAAATGTGGGGTGGTGGTGGGGGGGGGGGGGGGGGATTAGCGTGAGATATTGGAGGTGTGGTGTGAGAGCGTGTGAAATGGGTCAAATGCGTGTGTTGGCAGCCCTGTAAACAGGAAGTTAATGGGATCTAAACAGGAAGTAAACAGGATAGAAACAGGAAGTCAACGGGGTGTAAATCTGGCAGTGTGAGTGTCGCAGTGTCCCGATTGATCATGCGCCCTGGCTACTTGGCCAAGGGGACGTACCTTTGGCTGACTGGTTAGAGTGTATGACTCTCACCCGGGAGTCTGTGGATCGAATCCCGCCCGGGCCCTCGTTCCTCCACCCAGCCACATAAACAAGAAGTCTATTGGAAATCAGCAGGATGTAAAGCAGGGTGGAATTCGTTCACAAACAGCTGATTTTAATTTCTATCGAACATTTAAAATGTGTTAAATATGAGTAACATTTTAATTCTGAGTAGTTTATTTACTCAGATTACTCTGGTGTTTCATCTGTTTCATCTGATTTGAATCAAACATGAAATATTTTCTCTGAACTCTTCGTCAGAGAAAACAAATGTCTACCGAGTCTTTAATTTTGCATAACATGTCAAAAAATCTGTTTGGATATTTAACACGGGTTAAAAATCAGCTGTTGTATTAACCTGATGACGTCTACGTGTTTAAATTAAAACAGTTTCTGAGACATAAACATGAAAACCAAACACATTTGTGTGACTTTAACTATTCTCCGGTGAAAGTCTGTGTTTCTGACACGATCAGTGGGAGAAAAGGTTTCCTGGTCAGGAGGACTTTCAGGGTCTGAATTCCCAGGTTGGAGAAGTTTGTTTTGCTTTCCCAGAGAGACTGGTTCTGAGTCCAGCTCAGTCGGTCGGAATCCCCTCAGCTGTTTTCCAGGTCCAGCTGCAAACATCTGTAACTCTTTCTGCCCGTTCACTCTCTGTCCTCCAGGAGGAGGTCCAGGTGGTGACCTCGGCACCGTGGTCCGTAGATACCAGAGTCCCGGAGACAGGAAGGTGAAAGTGATCCAGCTGTCGGAGATCCTCAACATCCTCCGCCTCCCCCCGAACGCAGAAGCCTGTCCCATGGTCCGACCCTCAGACTGTCTCATGCATCGGTTTGATGAACATCACGCAAACGTCTCTGTCTGTCTGCAGGAGAACATGTCCGCCTTCTGTGTGGAGACTCAGGACAAGACGCTGGTGTTTGCTGCTCTCAGAGATGAAAGTGTGGACTGGGTGGAAAAGCTGGTCAGCAGCCAGGTATCTCCTCCTACACGCTCACACCGGGACGGCAGGGAAACTCGCTCCACTTCAGATGGGTCAAGTCAGAATTACTCTTATTTAAGCCCAAAACTCGAACGCCTGTCCCGTCCGACAACGTGGACATTTAAAAAGTTACAAGCTTAAAATCTAAATGAACATCAAACAGAGAAGAACCAGCTCCGGAGGAGGCGTGTTTAATCCGTGGACGTGCACTAGAAGATCGTTCCGTCCTCCGTCTGTTCATCCGGTTCTGATTGGTCATCTGGTCACTTTTTAATAAAGAAACTGTTTTTGGCAGAGGGCGGTTGGAGTGGGGGCGCTCCAGATGGAGGAGAACCAGATCTACGCCTCCACAGCTGAAGGTGAATCTTTGATCTTTAGGTTTTCATCAGCATCATCACCTGTAATCGTGTCAGCTTTAAAACTGGGACGAGGATGAGACACGTGCACAGATTTGCTTCTGATTCAGGCTTCTGCAGTCTGGTGGACAGTCAGCTGACTAAATCTTTGGTCTGCAGATCCTCTGTTCTGGGTGGTGGTTCAGAGGACGGATGCAGCGATCCGAAGCAACCTGCAGGGGTCCTACTGGCTGCAGGTGGAACCACAGGTGCTGCTGCTGAAAGAACCAGAGAACCGGAAGACAGTCCGAGCGTGGCCGTACGAGCTGCTGCGGCGATATGGAAGCGACGAGGTTGTTTGTGGGTCTTGGTGGAGGTTTTGATGTTGAGTATTCGTTTGTTTACTGTTGCTTCCTGTCTCCAGGTGGTTTTTACCATCGAAACAGGCCGGCGCTGCGACTGTGGGCCCGGAACCTTCTCCTTCGAGACTCGACAGGCGGAGAAAATATTCTCTCTGATCCAGAACAACATCAAACACAAGAGCTCTACAGGAAACCAGACCCAGGAGCCTGAGAAGGTTACTGGGACCAGCACCATGGCTCGGTCCCCCCTCCCCAGTACCCCTGGCGGGACCACCATGGCTTCCCACCTGGAGCACAAACCAAGAACTCAGGGCTGGAGATCTCCGCTGGTCAGCAGGTCTGCAAAGACCCTGGAGGATTCGGGGGGTCTGTCTGACGGTGCGCCGGCTCCCATCACCCTCATGCCCCTCCCACTGGTCCCAACTGCAAAAAGCAATCACAGCACCCAATCAGAAGCCATTTACGCCAATCCAACCATTTGTGTCCCATCTGTGCCTCAGCCAATCACGGCTCAGTATGTCGACCCGGCCAGTATTCTCCCTGTAAGAGCGCCACTGTCAGGAGAACCCAACCCTCCCAGCACAGATCCACATCCTGGACTCCATGACTCGGTTTACTCCGAGGTTTACGACAAAATCAGTCTGGACCAGAACCTCCTCCTGGGCTCCAGAAACACCTGCATGGAGCCCATTTACTCAGAACCAGTCAGCAGCACCGACACGGGTCCAGAGGCCAGAGAGACCAAGCCTGACCCATTCGCCCACCTTTACGCTCAGGTCTGTAAAGCATCCAGTAGAACCTCCACCACATCTGCTTCACCCCCCTCCATCGCCATTAGAACAAAAGCCTCCCCAGATGAAACATCCGATGATGTCATCTATGAAAACCTGGGAGTGGTCTAATCAGACACGTTTGAGACCAGAACACAGAACTTTTGTCAGAACCGAGACTCGTTTTAAATCTCGCTTCATCTGCTGAGGAACCACATCTGATCCGAGGTTTCTGAGGAGGGAAAAGCACCGTTCCCAGTTTCAGATACGAATAATGGAGCTGGTGCCGGCCCAGCCCACCTGAGCCTGACTCTGTAAACTCACCACACACAGGAAAGAGATCTTCTGTGTTGCTGCAACTAGTTTAAGCAGCTTTGTTGTCTCTCTGGGTGTTTCTGATTGGTTTAATCAGCTGTTCTGTGATGTTGGTGCTCATTATTAGAATAAACCGTCCAAGTGCCGTCTGGTGTTGTCCACTCATCTGGGTCCAGGTTGCAGGGGTAACACCCCAGCAGACCAACCGTCCTTACCCCAACAGCTCCCACCGGCAGGATCTCCAGCATGGAGATATAATCCTTCATTGTGTCCAGGGCTGACCCAGGGGCCTCCTGCCGTCTGGACCTGCCTGACCAGGCCACCTCAGCAGGCTCCTTTCGACGGTGATCGAGCCCTTACCACAGACTTGTATGTGTTGGTCCTCATCCCAGCTTTACATTCCCAGTAGGAGTAGAAGGTAATAGTTTGATGGAGCTGAGAGGCCTGCATCACCCCCCACCCCACGACTGAGCCTGGGAACCGGTGAGAAAGGGAAGTCCTGGTTGAGTCTAACCCTTACCAGGAGCAGGTCCGACTCACTGCTGGAGGACCAGAACCTCACTTTCTCTGTGTCGTGCGATAAGGGTTCCCCCGTCGAGATCTGTTTCTTTTCTACCCAAACACAGGTTTGAACCATCCACTCGCAAAACATACGTGTCCTAACCCTTACCCTAACCCTTACCCTTACCCTTACCCTAACCCTAACCCTAACCCTAACCCTTACCCTAACCCTTACCCTAACCCTTACCCTAACCCTAAAACAGCATAAAACTGTGTTACACAGAGTCATTTCTTCAATTATAATTATGCAAAACCAACATTTTTGGTGACAGAGTGTTTATGGTGAGGGTGAGGGTGAGGGTGAGGGGTTTTTTGTGAGTGGATGGTTCCAAACTTGCAGCTGGGTGGAAAAGAAGCAGACCTGGACGGGGGAACTCATATCAGCATAACACTGGAACTGATGGCTCCATCCAATTCAAACATCCTGAGCTTGACTCGTCCCTTCTGAGGTCCTCCAGCTTTGGTCCTTCGCAGGAACACAAGAGCTCCTCAGATTATTATCATCACCACCCGACTACGTCCCCAGTTGACTACAACAGTCCCCTGTCCCCACAGCATCAGTGTGAGCTAGTTACCTTTTCCCTTGAGGCACCAGCTGGTTTATCAGAACATCTTCAGTGCCGATCAGTAGTCTTCTTCCACGTCCTCACTGTGTCCTCCCGCGTCTTCCATATGGGGGGACTTTAGCATACTTGAACAACCACCACTGCTGCAGTTGGTCCTGTAGGTCTCCTTCACCAGTCAGACACCGTCCCCACCCTCTGGAGTAAACCAGCGTAAACCATGACTAGTACCAGCAAGCAGAATGGAACCAGGCCCGCTTGACCTCGATGTCCCACCGCTTTAAGGTATCTATCTCCATCAGTCACCAGGTGAGAGGTGTGGGACACCTGGACAGGTCCTCAGTCAACCACAGGGACACACAGAGACAAACACTCATACCTACAGGGTCTGTGGGAGGAAACCAGAGAAAACAGCACGCCTGTGGGGCCACGCAAACACTGTTTTACTGATCCACTTCCTTATGAGAGGAAAAATGCTTTACTGAATGAATGAATGAATGAATGACGTTCCATCTCTGATGACTGCTTTAAATCTTTTGGCCAGCAGGAGGCAATAATGAGCACAAAATCTCTGTTTTTCCTGTTGGTTCTTCGGGGAAATGACGACACAGTCAGAGAAGTCCCTTCTCAACAAGAACACGTGTCTGACTTCATTTTATTTATAGATGCAAGCAAGTTTACGTCTTTACAAATAAAAAAAGCTGCCGTCTGCTGAGCTGCTGGCACAGATATGTACAGAAACGGAGAGTGAGTCTGATGACGCCCGCTAAGCAACAGAGTGAAACTCAAACAGTCTGCATTACAATGGAGAACAGAGAGAAGGTGACCTCCCAAGTCCAGACCTGAAGCTGCCTTCAGACCTGAGAGGTTTCTCTGATGGTCTGACGTGGGCCGTTTGGATCCTGAGTCTGATCAGAATCCTGGAATGATGAAAGGGAGTCCACGTTCAGCTGTAGTCAGGCAAGCAGGACGGAGGAGTGTGTGACCACACACACATGCTAATGATGAATGACAAGGAGCTGCTCACAACCTCAGGAGGAGAAACATGATGAATTTTGGTCCTTTTACTGGATCGGGCCCAGAGCCGATCCGATAGTCTGGTCCCTCAGAACTCAAACATCTGCAGCTGCAGCTGGAAGAGCTGAGCAGGCTGTTCCAGACTTTAGTCTGCAACAGTCTGAGTTTAGGATCAGACAAAAACCTGGAGCAAACCAAACATTAGTCACTCTAAATTCAAATTAAATCAGCTGGAGGTGGAGGAGGAGCAGGGTGATGATCAGCAGGAGGAGGAGAAGCAGGGTGGTCAACAAGGAGGAGGAATAGGATCAGGGGTACGCAGGAGGAGGAGCAGAGTGATGATCAACAGAAGGAGAAACAGGATGGTCAGCAGGATGGAGGAGAAGCGGGATAGTCAGCAGGAGGAGGAGGAGCGGGATGATCAGCAGGTGGAGGAGGAGCAGGGTGATGACCAACAGGAGGAGGGGCGGGATGGTCAGCAGGAGGAGGAACGGGATGGAGGAGGAGCGGGATAGTCAGCAGGAGGAGGAGGAGCGAAATAGTCAGCAGGAGGAGGAGGAGCGGGAGGGTCAGCAGGAGGAGGAGGAGCGGGATAGTCAGCAGGAGGAGGAGTGGGATGGAGGAGGAGCGGGAAAGTCAGCAGGAGGAGGAGGAGCGGGATGGTCAGCAGGAGGAGGAGGAGCGGGATGGTCAGCAGGAGGAGGAGGAGCGGGATAGTCAGCAGGAGGAGGAGCAGGAGCAGGGGTATGGTCAGCAGGAGGAGGAGCAGGAGCAGGGGTATGGTCAGCAGGAGGAGGAGGAGGGGGATGGTCAGCAGGAGGAGGAGCAGGAGCAGGGGTATGGTCAGCAGGAGGAGGAGGAGCGGGATGGTCAGCAGGAGGAGGAGGAGCAGGGGGATGGTCAGCAGGAGGAGGAGGAGCAGGGGGATGGTCAGCAGGAGGAGGAGGAGCAGGGGGATGGTCAGCAGGAGCAGGAGCAGGGGGATGGTCAGCAGGAGGAGGAGGAGCAGGGGGATGGTCAGCAGGAGGAGGAGGAGCAGGGGGGTGGTCAGCAGGAGGAGGAGGAGGAGGAGGGGGATGGTCAGCAGGAGCAGGAGCAGGGGGATGGTCAGCAGGAGGAGGAGGAGGAGGAGCAGGGGTATGGTCAGCAGGAGGAGGAGGAGGAGCAGGGGGGTGGTCAGCAGGAGGAGGAGGAGGAGCAGGGGGATGGTCAGCAGCAGGAGGAGGAGGAGCAGGGGGATGGTCAGCAGGAGGAGCAGGAGCAGGGGGATGGTCAGCAGGAGGAGCAGGAGCAGGGGGATGGTCAGCAGGAGGAGCAGGAGCAGGGGGATGGTCAGCAGCAGGAGGAGGAGGAGCAGGGGGATGGTCAGCAGCAGGAGGAGGAGGAGCAGGGGGATGGTCAGCAGCAGGAGGAGGAGGAGCAGGGGGATGGTCAGCAGGAGGAGCAGGAGCAGGGGGATGGTCAGCAGGAGGAGCAGGAGCAGGGGGATGGTCAGCAGGAGGAGCAGGAGCAGGGGGATGGTCAGCAGGAGGAGCAGGAGCAGGGGGATGGTCAGCAGCAGGAGGAGGAGGAGCAGGGGGATGGTCAGCAGCAGGAGGAGGAGGAGCAGGGGGATGGTCAGCAGGAGGAGGAGCAGAGCAACACGTTACACCACGTCTGTAAATGAGTTTTATTAGGAGAAAGGATACAGAACACCAGAATCACCGAAGACTTTAATCAAAGATTCATGCAGCTTAACGTCTGGAGCTGAAGGGAATGTTTGAGTCGAACTGCTACAACATTTTGCTCTGGTGGTAAACAACTGAGCAGGCAAGCTAGCTTAGCAACACCATAGCAACAGGAACTGGAATACTGCACACGAAAAAGTGGGAACAAAACTCAGCAGAACAGCACCGGTGGAAAAGAAATGGGATTTTTTTTAAGGATTTTTGTTTCATTTTAATCATTAAAATATGACCATTGAATGCATAACCATGCCACAAACAACAACTAGATTCACTGTCGTTTTTATGTAGAATAAGATTATCTTCATTATTATGAATTCATTTCTTCATGTTATAACCAACGCTGCAAGACTATACACGGGTCCCACAACGGGGGAGCTCAATGCACTTACACACCGATCAGAGGGGAGGGCAGAGAGGGGGGGAGAGAAGAGAAGGGGGGAGGTGAGAGAGAGAGGAGAGAGAGGGGGAGGAGAGCGAGAGCTCACAATGGTCAATAAGTGCACAAAAACATTTTTTCTTTTATCTGAGGTTAAAAACACTGACAAACATCCATTGTCAGGCAATGAAATGATAGAATACCGTTACTGTAAAACTAGACCCTTAAAAATACTGACTGCTGCAGCCGAGAGTCACCTGCACAGGTGAGTCTGCACGAGTCTCCCCGACCCAGATGGAACACGTTCAGCTGGATTCACACAACAAACATATCAGAGTACGCAGGGAAAGCCGGGATCCCGTCCTCGGATCCGGGATTTAACTCGCTCGGATCTCCGAGCTCATATCTGGTTTCTGATGGGGCGGCCGACCTTCCATACGGCTCTGATCCAAACCTTCCTGTGTGTGAATGCAGCTTCCCGCAGGCCGAGAAGGCCCGGCGGAACCGGGCCGGGTCCGTCAGACTCCAGAACCAACGGGCGCCGTCCTCCCGGCTGCTGGCATCAAATGTCTCACATATATGTATGTCTTTGTACAGATCTGATGCAGGAGCAGCGTTTCTGACCGCCCGCATGGAGAGAAACAAAAACACTCGTCTTCTTCTAATTAAATAGTTTCACATTTAAAAAGTTTCAAAGAGTAAAAGTTGATAATAAAATAGTGAAATGTCATCAGTGAAAAAAGTAAAAGAGAATTATGGCTCAGAGTGATGGCGAGGTGGAGGGTGTGTGTGTGTGTGTGTGTGTGTGTGTGTGTGTGTGTTCTTTTCGCACTAAACTAACATCTTCATCCCATCGGACCATCTCTACTGGCAGATAGAGACTCGTCTCCTTCCTGACGGCTGAATCCACTGAAGGTAAAACATCTGAAACGGAAACCTGTTTGGATCTGAAGAGCTGGAGCGCTGCTCGCCTAACCCACGGTAAACACCCAGAACCCGAAGAGAGGTCTGACCACCGCGTCCAGCTCAGAAGCACCTGAGGAGAGTGTAAGACACCAAGCAAGTTAGAAAACCTCTAAATCTATCAGGAATGCGGATCCCACACCTCCCTGTTCCTGCACCTGCTTCCTGTTTCCACGCCTGTGTCCCGTTTCTCGTATTCAGACTCATTTGTGAGGTGAACCCTGAAACGGACTGTAAACGACACGGTGCCCTACACTTGCTGCCAGAATCAGGAGTTTTCTAACTTACAGAAACTTTTGGTCACATTCGGGTTTGTGGTGTGTGTGTGTGTGTGTGTGTTTGTGTGTGTGTGTGTTTGTGTGCAGCATGGACGGAATTTTGGGGGGGACAGGGGGGACATGTCCCCCCCCCCACTTTTTCCAAAGTCAAGTTCTGACCCCTGCACTTTTTACCATCCAAAAACAACATTACGCTATATTAAGTTGACACTGGTTGAGCTCTAGGACCAAGCGGAAAACAACCGTTTGGCTTGAAGCCTGTTTCCCGTTAGAGCATACTGTAAAGATACCACCCCCCCCCCCCCCCCCCCGTGTCCCCCCCACTTCTAAAGTGAAAATTACGTCCATGGTGTGCAGAACCACTGAAATTCAGACTCAGTACAGTGACAGTGCTAACCCAACCAGAACCCAGCCCGTTTAAACCCCGCGGTGCTAAATCACATGGAAATAATCAAAAATCCCCCAAAAGGTGAAACAACATCATGGAACAGACGAGCTGATGAGGACGTGACACAAAGACGTTGTGCTGCTAAGATGTGCTGTCTCTGAGGACGAATGGCAAGTTTATACAATCCGGGGGGAGGGGGGCGTCGTGATCAGCTGCCTTCAGAAGATCTCAAATCCTAAACAGCTGATTGGGGGGGGGGGGGGGGGGGGTAGTTGGTAAAGCTACCTAATTGTACCCAGGAGGCACAAAACTTCAGGGGACCTTTTCTCTCTGCAACACCGGTCATCTGAGTGTGGTGGAACGACACGACACATGACACCACCGTACAACATCGACCACTCAGTCACATCTACATGTCTGCGTGTGTGTGTGTGTGTGTGTGTGTGTGTGTGTGTGTGTGTGTGTGTGTGTGTGTGTGTGTGTGTGTGTGTGTGTGTGTGTGTGTGTGTAGGTTCTAGGAGAGGGCAGGGCCTTTTATGAATAAACTCACAGATACCAGACTTGTTCCCATGTCTGCTGAGGATCGTTGGCTGAACATTCAGAACCAAGGTCCATCTCAAAACAAAAAACATGCTGAAACGTTCTTTGGGTTCTTTATTTTTGGTCTTTTTTGGTTCTGCTGGAGAAAATTAATGTTTTAGAAAATGTTTCGTTTTTTTTTTTTTTGTTATTGGAAAAGAAGCTCCAGGTTCTGGTTTCATGGTCTGGACTCGTTGTGGTCCATCAGCACCGAACTCAAAAGTTTCAGAAAACAACTTTAATTTGTTTAAGGTTCAGGCAGAATCAATCAAACTCAGAGCTCAGAACCAAGGATCTGCTGCAGACAAGAGGACAATGATGGAGTCTGTTTTGTGCGTGTGTGTGTGTGTGTGTGTGTGTGTGTGTGTGTGTGTCTGACTGGTGAGTGTGTGTCGTTTCGGCAGCTTTGTGTTTATGTGTAGGCATTGAGGCGTTCTTTGGAGCGCGTGGAGTGGATATCATGCAGCTCCTGCTCCTCCTTCGACTTAATGTCTTCGTACTTCTGCATCCGGCTGGCATCTTTCAGGTAGCCCCAGTTAGCAGCCAGAGCCATCAGAAAGTGCACCTGAGGGGGCGGGGCAAAAAGGTCTGATTATTTGGAGCAAGAAATTAAACAGAAATTTGTTGTGTCCTCTTCGCATCAGAACCAATGTGGATCCAGCTTCAAATGGATCCATTAAACTCAGAAAGATAAATAATCCTAATCCTTCCACTCTGATTGGCTGTGTCAGAACCTGCGTGAAGCTCACAGCCAATCAGATCTGAGTGTTTTCTCACCATGGCAATGACTGCAGCTCCTGCTCCAGCCAGCGCACACACAAACAGATGGAAGGTCAGGTCCAGCTGTAACAGAACAGAACCGGGTCAGTTTAGCCCCATGGCACCACAAATTGGATTTAACTGTATTCTCACCTCATTAGATTCACACATCTTGAAGAACTTCTCGGATCCTGTGCACAACTTCCTCTCTTCAGAGACGGTCACTGCTCCTAGTGTACACAAACACAGAATACATCATCAGAGCCGGATTGGGACTGGTCCACAGCACTGGACCCAGACCCAACTGGATCCATCTGAACTGCCTAACTCGTTTTCTGAACATCCTCATCCTCTCTAGGATCTCAGGGAGCTGGTGTCTGTCTCCATCAGGCGAGAGCTGAGGGACACCTGGGCAGGTCTCTAGTCCACCACAGGGGACAGTCCCACCTCGGGACACGCCAGAGTCTCAGGTTAACTCACTACCAGTTCCAGGATGCAGCCTGTAGTAATAAATCTTGTCCAGCAGGGGGCAGCAGAGCCAGAACCTCCTAGTTGGATGTGCAGGACAACATGGTGGACAGAAGAACTCTGATTACATCATAGCAACCTTCTAAAGTGTTACAGGAACCCGTCTCTGGTCAGAACCTGAGTCAGTTCCAGAACAAAACATTAATGTTCTGATTCCTTTTTCCTATTTGAAGGAACAAAGAAGACTAGAACGTTCTCCTGCTTTATCTGGGAATGTCCACAGGTTCCTGAATCCCAGCACTGTAAGTAGGGCCCCTGTCTGGGCCCACCGGCCCGTGGGCCCCGGTGCACCGCACCGGTTACACCGACACACCCCACACCCCACACCCCACACCAGTGGTTTCTGTAGATCTAGCTCAGCTGACTCAGGTCTGGTGGATCAATCTTACTCTGAAAACGTCTGTTTATAAAAATCATTCTCTTCTATAGATTTTACTGATTTATAACAATGTTCACATTTTGTTTTCAGGTCTAAGTTCAGGATGGCTGCTTATACTGAGCCAGGATTCTCTGGAGGTTTCTTCCTGTTAAAAGGGAGTTTTCCTCTCCACTGTCGCTGCATGCTTGCTTAGTATGAGGATTGCTGTATGGTCACTGACACTAGTCAGTGACTTGATGCAATTTGCTGGGTTCCTTATATAGGAAACATTATTTCTGATTGGCTTAATGAACTGACCTGAATTGGAATGTTTATTATGTGAAGGTCCTTGAGACGACTCTTGTCGTGATTTGGCGCTTTATAAATTTACTTAAATTGAATTTACTGACCCCTGCTCCGGTAAACAACCATGACGTCATCCTCATCAGCTTCTGTTTTTATTCTACTTGAGTTTGAAGGTTCGAGTTTCTATCATATGATAAAAAAAACGTGACCAGAAAACGTGGTAAACATCCCTCCTGTGTGGTTCTAGGACCTACCAAACTGACGCAGGTCCAGACAGAGGTTGGCCCCCTGCACCGAGCTGGCGTTCTGACACATGGACCAGACGTTGTAGTACATGAAGACGGGGAGGCTGGTGAAGGCCGTGACGCCGAGCCACACCAGGAAGAACAGGTAGGCCAGGAACATCAGCTGGAATCAGACGGGTCAGAACAAACTGAAGGTTTTTGGCGTAACTTCTTTAAAAAAGTAACTGAATTACAATATAGTAACTGATTACCAGGAAAAGTAACTATTGCATTACTTTTTTCATAAATATATGCAAGAAAATTAGGATCCCAGAACTGATTTAATTTACTATCAATTACAACGATACTAAAATATTAATGAATACATAGACTTGAACCCAACAACATGTATGTCCAAATGTTGATTATAAAACTGAATAATCTAAATAAATGAGGAGGACTCCAAAGCTTGTTACACTACAGTCAGTCATTCACTCATTCACAAACTGGTGGTGATGAGCTACAATGTAGCCACAGCTGCCCTGGGGACACTGACAGAGGCGAGGCTGCTACACACAGACCCTCTCTCCACCCCGACAACCAGCAGGTAAACAGGGTGAGGTGTCTTGCCCAAAGACGCAATGACAGGCATGACTAGGAGGAGAGCCTGGGTTTGAACCAGTGACCCACTGATTAAAGGGCAACCTCTTAACCACTGAGCCACCATCACCCTTAATAACTTGGCATACAGAAGGAACTGCAGACAGGAAACGTTACACTAATCTAAATCTGAGCATAGATAACAATTCAGAGATTTTTGCATTTGATCTCTTTAAAGGTGTGGTTCACTCGTTTGATCGATGCATTTGCAGTGGTCTCTGGTAGGAACGAATGCCTTGTAAGTCGTACTCTGAGGGACAAAAAAAACTCAGATGCACTTGATTCAGGAAGGACAAGGTCCAATCCCAATACTCGCACTGCACCCTTTGGTCTCCTGCAAAGTGCACTTGGAGGAAGTACACAAGTGTGCAAAAGAAAAGCCAAATTAGGACCGGGAGCATTGTGTCATCGACCACAACGAATGACGGGATGTTGGTCGCCGCTGCAACTTCAAAAAAAATCTTTTCTTAGCAACTTTCAAACAAACAAATGGTTGACAAAACTTACATTCATTGCTGTCCGTATTAAATATTTGTCTAAAACATTCAGAGCATGAATAAAAATCAGTAATCGTCCTGAAATAACTTACTTTCACTTGAAAATGCTTATTTTCATAAAAGATACTTGAGCCTTTGCTCCACCTTCTTCTCAAAATGGCCACGCAGCAATGGATTGTGGATAATACCCTTAGCCCAAATCCGCATCGATGCAGACTCGGGCGAAGTGCGGATCAAGGGTGCAAAAGGGGCGTGGTCAATTCCCGCATTTTATAATGGTGAAACCCTGGCCTGTGCACTCGTATTCCTGGACGGGATTGCACAATTGAAGGGCGCTAGGGTGGAAGTGCGAGTATTGGGATTGGGCCCAAGTGAGATGGAAGATAAACTAGGCTTTAGCCGGTAGGATTTGGAGTCTTATTTCCTGATATCTCTCCTCTGATTGGCTAACAGCTATGCAACTCTACCACTGACTGTTTGCTCTGCAACGTCGATGTTTTATCTCCTCAAATAAGACAAGCCTGTAGGAGTTCTGATGTGTGGTGGAGTTGCTAATGCTAACAGTTAGCTTCCTCTAGCCGAGACGTTCTCTGCTGTTTGGACGCTAAACCAACAACAGCCTTCCCCGTCGTGAGTCAAGATGGGTGAGTCCATGCAACAGCTTGGAGTAGAGCTGTCAGGCTTTTCAAATCCTGGATTTTCTCTATTTTCTATCAGGAGCTACTGCGGGAGACAGATGTAGGAGAACACAGTCATTCATTCATACACTGGTGGGGATGAGCTACATTGTAGCCACAGCTGCTCTGGCGCGCCGAAGGAGGCGAGGCTGCCATACACTGGTGCCACCTGTTCCTCCGACCACCAGAAGGCAATGTGTCTTGCCAAAGGGCTCCAAGACTGTGCCAGACTGAGCAGGGCTCGAACCCGCAACCTTCCAATTACAGGGCGGGAACTTAACTTCTCTGCTACCATCACCTCTAAACTAAACTGTAAACTAGAAGAAGAAGAAGAAAGTATCATTTCTGTAGCGCCTCTCAAGATAAAAATCACGAGGCGCTTCACAAAAGCAAAAAATGTAAAAATATAAAAAAGCATTTAGAAAAAGTTTTAAAATATATTTAAAATGAGCAAAAATAGACAATTGTGATTTAAAAATGTTAAGAAAGAGAGAGAGTGAACAGGAAAGAGGGAAACCAGTGGATCCTGAGGAAGGTGGAATAGGTGGGGAGAGCAGAATAAAGAGAGAGAGGTGAAGAAGGTCATACAAAAGCCAGCTTGAACAAGTGAGTCTTCAGCTGCTTTTTAAAGGAGACCACTGAGTCCACTGATCTCAGGCTCAGGGGGAGAGAGGTCCAGAGTCTGGGGGCCACAGCAGCAGATGATCTGTCACCTTTGACCTTTTGCCTGGTGCTGCACAACCAGTAGGCTTTGGTCACTGGACCTCAGGGACCTGCTGGGGGTGTAGGGACTAAGAAGATCACCAATGTAAGATGGTGCTTGTCCATGTAAGGCCCTATAGACCAGAACCAGGATCTTGAAATGAACCCTGAAGTTGACAAGTTGACAATGCCCTGTGTTTTTGTTAGCGTCTCTGCTATCTAGTAACAGCAGTAACGTTTGGGGGGCTCAGGGGGGCACATGTCCTCTCCACAATACAGGTTGATCTATTCATGATGTCTACTTATATTACTGACATGAGGAAGAACTTTATGCCTAAAGTGATGCTGCTCTCACAGACCAAACACACAACCAGACCCGTTCCTGTCTAACCACGGAAAGCCGATTGTTTGTTGGGGACTTCTGGCATTTTACTTACAAATACAGTCAGGCAGCGTCCGCAGGCGGTGATCTTAAACTCCCCGTACAGATCTCTGATGGCTCCAGTGGTGAAAAAGCCCTCCACCAGCAGAAGCACTCCAAACACGAAGAAACCAGCGGCAAGTCCGTAGATGATGTACTTCAGGATGCTGATGCTGAGAACACACACACACACACACACAGTCAGAGGGTTTGTTTGTGGAGTTTGGATTAGGACGATGAATCCTAGCTTCTGACCAGGTGAACATCTGAAATGTAGACACAGGTACTCACATGGTGAACACGTCCAGAGCATCTCCAGGTGCTTTGATCACTTGAAAGTAATCCTGGAGGATGGTGACGGTGCCGCTCAGAGCCTGGTGGCCACACCCACAGAACAAGGCCACGCCCATGTAAAGAAGGACAGTGGCAATGAGCGACGCCCACGGCAGGCTCCCAACGCATCGCTCGCAGCACTCCTTACAGCCTGAACACACAAACACAGCTGGTGGTCACCATGGTGATGATGGTCACATGACCAGTCAGCTAAATCACAATAAATTTAGATCAGGCAGACAAGGGTCATCATGAGAAACACAAACTTTTATTTCTGCTTTTCATACAAAAACACAGGAAACGCTGCAGATCAGCTTTTCAGAATAAAAACACTCTGTGTTCCCTCCTTTCTCTGACAAAAGCGGAGAGGAACTTCTGAAGGAATAACAAAATAAAAGCATTAGATTAAATGCAATGAGATTAAATGTAGTTTGATCAGGAGTCTAAGCTGGGCTCGGCTCTGCTGAAGACGGTTCTGTTAAACAGGAGAACAGGAGAAGAGCCACAGTTTGAAACCCTGAGCTGGTTCTGGTGGTGGTGTCCGACTCGACCCGACTCGACCCACTCATTATGACTTTAGGGGAACAGTAGCTCCGTAGGTAAAGCAGGATGTCCAGTAGTTGGAGGGTCTCTGCAGAAACCACTCCCCGTCTGCTGCTGGTGGTCAGAGGGACTAGTGTGTCCCACAGCGGTCCATCACCACCAGTGTGTGTGAATGGATGAATGATTCAGTGTAAAGTGCTTTGGAGTCCTTTGACTCAGGAAGACACTATAAAGGTCATTAGGTGTTTAAATGGACTCTTAGAACCTCTAGAACCCGTAAGAACATCTGGTCCCGTCATGTCAGAAAGAGGTCCGTTCTTCCCCGACAGCTGATTGTCAGCTTGAAACAGGTGTTTTATTAAAAATTGCGTTTGTCAGTGTGAGCTCATGAAGAACTGAAATATCGTTTAAAACCATTGGGCTGCATGGTGGCGCAGTGGTTAGCACTGTTGCCTCGCAGCACGAAGGCCGCAGGGTCGAAACTCGGCTGCGGCCTTTCTGAGTGGAGTTGCGTGTTCTCCCCATGCATGCGTGGGTTTCCTCCGGGTGCTCCGGTTTCCCCCACACATCACAACATGCCCTATAGGTTATAAATTGTGAGTCGATTTGGATAAAAGTGTCTGCTAAATGAATAAACATAAACATAAAACCAGCTAAAAACAAAAGCTTAAACCAATCAGAACCCAGCAGAACCGTCTGATGACTCATCCTGCTGCAGAGGATTTCACACCTTCTTCAAGTTATTTTTGACTAAATTGTGTAATTATTGTCCAGTTTTCCTTTCAGGCCTCTTCTGTTTGCTGTCATTCCCTGAGAGGAAGAAAACGGTCATCAGCAGGTGGGAGGTAGGTGGGCCGTTTATGTCTGCTTCTGCATTACCATCAAACGCTCCATTCATGAACTCCACGGACAAAAACGGGAAGATCCTGATAAGGGTGAGAGAGAGAGAGAGAGAGAGAGAGAGAGAGAGAGAGAGAGAGAGAGAGAGAGAGCAACTTGTCCCTACAGGCTCCGAGCTGCCACTTATTTATGGAGTAAGATCCGAGTGAGAGCCGTTACAGAAATGTCACTTTGTGTTTTGTTCTCTTCTTCGTCACCAATGTAATTTTTATTTTATTTTGGAGGAGCTGAACCACTTCCTGCTCCTGTGAATCTGAATGAACTTTGACCCTGAATCACTGGAGCTGCTACTTCTTTCCAAGAATTCAGTCCCACTTCTGGATGATGTGGGACTGATCCAGAGGTACAACCGGCCAATAATGGTGCATTTACATCTAGGGATGGGTACCGAATTCGGCACTTTTTAAGGTACCGACCGAATTCCATAGTACCGACCGAGCACCGATTCACGTCATTTGAAACGGTGCCTCGTTTCGGTACCCGTCCTTCATAACGAGAACTTGCCAAGACAGCTGCGCATGTGCAAGAGCGTTATGTCGTCGGTCGCTGCGATCCAGTTGTAAACAGAGCAGCATGGTAGAAAGAACGCACGCTAACGCTTGGGTCCACTTCACTAAATGTGATGGGTAACTGGGTGATGATGAAACCAGCGACAACGATCTAAGTGAGTCATCCTCATCTTAATCTGCTCCGGTAGGTAAATAAAATGTTTCAGATAACGTTAGCTTGATTTGTTAGCTTCCGTCTCGCTAATGGTGCGTTCGCTTTCTCCTCGGAACTCCGAATTTCCGACTAGAAGAACATGAACACGCTCTAAAGTTTGGCTTCACTTTACTAAATGCGACGGGTGATTGGGTGAAGATGAAACCAGCGACAACGATCTAAGTGTGAGGCATCGTCGTTGTAATCTGCTCCAGCAGCTAAATAAACTGTTTAAGATAACGTTAGCTTGATATGTTAGCTTCCATTGCCACCATTGTTATCAGCTAATGGTGCGTTCGCTTTCTCCTCGGAAATTCTAACTTCCCAGTAGGAAAAATCAAAGAAAAAAGTCGGCAAAAGGAATGAAGATACACAGTAAATTTAGTTTTCAGTAAAGATGTTGGCTTCAGTTTAATTATCAGCTTATAAAACTACAAGGACGATGTTAAAATACAAACAGTTGTATGTTATTTATCGTGATATTTATCAAATATGGTTATATATTGAGAAAAATATATATCTAATTATAAAAGAGAATTAAAATATTAAACACTCAAAAGTATCAAAAATCGGTACCGTTAAGTACCGGTATCGATTCCTAGGTACCGGGAATTAGTACCGGATCGATTCAAATGTCAAAGGTACCCATCCCTAGTCACATCTGGGTCGGCCCGGACCAGCTCTGGTAGGGTACTTATGTTCACATCTGGGTCATCTGTGCATTTTCTGTGCTCAGCTAACTGTTTGGTTTGCTTTTTTGTTGTCGGACCTGCTCTCTGGCAGTCAGCGTGGTACTGAGTCGACCCAACACACCCACTACCAACTGAAGTTCATGCCTACCTACCAGGGAGCCTTTTAGTGGTAGGTAGAATCAGCCAGCGGCGGCATCGCGAATGCTCAATTCATTGTCAGTCTGGATTCTGCGGCGTAAACATCTTCTCTGATGGAAGCTTGGATTTACTAATTTAAAGAGGACACCACGGTCTTCTCCGCATGTTTTTTGCCCCACCCACGTGCTCTGAGAAATCTGCATTCCTAAGAAGGCTGTGTGAACTAAACTTGGCCACGCAAGGGCAGGCTGACCCAACCAAGACCGAACTGGGCCGACCAGATCTGAAAGCGCCAAAACAGTCAAGTGCCCCAAGGCGTTGAAAAACAACGGAGAACCACTTCACTGAACCAGACAGAGGAACTCTAACACCCTCTAGTGGAAGGTTCCAGAACTACCTTCAAGGCTTCACATTCAACAAGGGGAGGAGGAGGACGGATGTGGGTCATAAGTCAGGTTAGAGAGGAGGCTATGACATCATTGTTTCTACTGAGATGTTGGGGTCAAAACACACCACAAATGTCTATGAATCATCTTTATTTATAATTTTTAAATAAAACACTAGCATTCTGTGTCTTTGGTAGGGCCGGGGCTTATTCCATTGGCCGTGTTCGAGATAATAATAATAATAATAATAATCCATCGAACTTATATAGCGCTTGTTTAGGACACTCAAAGACGCTTGCATGCACTCTCACATTCACACACTGCTGGTGATGGTAAGCTACTTTGTAGCAACAGCCGCCCTGGGGCGGTTTGACAGAGGCGAGGCTGCCATTAGGCGCCGTCGGCCCCTCTGACCACCACCAACACAGGCAAGTTGGGTGAAGTGTCTTGCCCAAGGACACAACAGCGGAATACCCTTGGCATGAGCTGGAATTGCACCCGTGACCCTCCGATCATGAGGCAACCTGCTCTACCTCCTGAGCTACTGCTGCCCAATTCAGCCAGTTCTGCACAGATTAGATCAGCGGTGATCGGCGAGCGGTGCATGCCGGTTAGCTTTGTGTCCGACTTGCTCTGACGTCATGCCTACGTAGGCAACGATAACCTCGTGAGATCAAGGCGGCCGCAGATTTTGGAGCAAGGCGCTGCAGTTGCTCTCCACCGGCTGCTAAACCTAGAGCATGACGGGAAACGCCTGGCTCTCACCTGATCTAAGATCTGATTGGTTCATATTTTGATCCAAACATCCGGTGGTAGAACATGAAATGTTAGTTGGTTGCATGTATTCTGTGAATCATATGACATTGATGATAACTCTATGGGCCATAAAGAGAAATGTGTTTTGTGTTCTTTTGTCACGTTTCCTATGAGCACACTGAAGCCACAGCTGATAACCTTTACTTATTATTACAGTCATGTCTCCATATACGATATATGATATCCACAAGCACGTGAGGATGTGTTTCAGCTGCTAACAGGCACCAGAATTAAAATAAACAAGTATGAACTCTAACGCGATATCTTCATCCATCGTCACCCTTGAGCTACACATGTAGGGAAATCTGTCAAACTTAAACGCCGGCTTTCAGCCCCTCCCCCTGCTGCGTCCGTCTGCTCTCGTCTGTTTTCCAGGCGAGGCGCTGCTCATCTCGAACAAGGCCATTTATTCACCTCTTGATTGACAGGAGACTCGACCAATCACAACACAACTGTTGGCTTTTAGCTGGTTCATGGTTAATTGTGCCCAAGCCCCATCCGCTAATCGCCAATCAACAAATAATGTTTGAAGACCAAGTTCAGGCTTGTGTTATTTGTGGAGATAAAACATCAATGTTACAGAGCAAACTGTTAGTTGTAGAGTTGTAGTTCTGTTAGCCAATCAGGGGCCAGATGCTCGAATATCAGGAACGAAGACTCCAAATCCTGCCGTCTGAAGCCTCCCTGTAGTTTCTGGAACAGGAGGGCCAGGGTTTTATCCCACAGAGGTCGACTCACAAGGCATTCATTCACAAGTTGACAAACCTAATGAGCTTTAACACACACACACACACACACACACACACACACACACACACACACACACACACACACACACACACACACACACACACACACACACACACACATAAAATCCTTCCAGCTTATTTCACTTTATCTTGTTTCACTGTGTGTGTGTGTGTGTGTGCGTGTGCGCGTGTGTGTGTGTGTGTGTGTGTGTGTGTGTGCAAACA